TATCAGGATGCTGCCCGCTTCTAATTTTAAGCTGGCTCAGGTAAGCCACTTTATATCATTACGCGATAATCTTGTAGCTTTAACTGTACTTATGCACTCAAGGCCACAGCAAAAAGTTTCCAAGAATTCAGGAATGCATCCAAGTTTCATACCTGAGTCTTCAAGGGGAATACATTCACATCCATTCCCCTGAATCCCTAGTCTACTGATTTGCTTCTTGATGGAAAAAGAGCACCTCTGCCTTGTCTAGATCAAGTTTCAAGTTGTTCACCTTCATCCAGCCCAAGGGTAGGCAACCTTTCCCCTTTAAGGGCCGAGGGACTTCAACTCTCAGAATCCCAGGAGCTATTGGCCAACATGGGACTATTGGACAACATGGCTGAGGCTTCTGGGAGCTGAAGTCCCTCAGCCCTTAAAGGGGAAAGGTTGCCTACCCCTGATCCAGTCCATTACTCAAGACAGGGACCTTTACAGAACCAAAACAGTTTTCTTGGATTGGGATGGAGAAGAGCAATCAAGGTGGATGTCATCTGCATACTGATGACACCAGACCACTAAACGCCAGACAACATCTCCCAGTGTATTTTAAATAGCACTGAGGCAGAACTGAGCCCAAGAGACCATATAGACCATTGGCCAAGGTTCTATGCCGATATAGGGGGGTTGCAGGCTGCCAGAAATAGTGCAAATTGAGTCCACTTTTAGGGTTAGGATTAGGGAATCATGGGAACTGTATTTTATTGTGGCACAAGAGCTCTCTGACAGAGAAGAATCAATGTCTCAGAAAAAAAAACAATTCCCATGATTCCCTAGCACTAACCCTAAACCTAAAAGTGGACTCAATTTGCACTATTTCTGGCAGTCTGCAACCCCCCATAGTAAATTACTGCACTACACTCTTATAGCACTGCTATCCCACTTTAATTGCTCTGGCTGCCTCCTGTTACATTCCGGGATTTGAAGTTTAGGGAGGGGGCTTTTATAATTCTCAGCCAGAGAGCTCTTAGGCCTCACTGAGCTACAAGTCTCAGAATCCAACAGGAGGCAGCCAGAGCAGTAAAACTAGAATAGCAGCATTATAAGAGTGTAGTGTTGTAATGTGGCCACATGTTCAGGAGACAAATCAATCAATTTTCCCCCTTTTCTTTGTGAAGAGGCAGACAGATCCAATGTGAAGTTGCAAAAATGAAACCATTCTGCATGTGTAAAACATACATACAAGGCAGGTTATCTTGCATTTGGAACTGGAGCCCCCTGTATTGTAGGACCTAATTCCAGAAGGAATTAACTTCACAGAACAAAATTGCTTGTCTTGCAAAAGTGCGTATGTGTGTCTGTTTGGGGTGGTGGTGATATTCAGGATCATACTTGTCTCTGCCTCTGGACTTTTTTCTAATTTGGCATTTCTGGCAGGTACACAAGTACCTAAACATGTTCTGGTATGTTTTATAGGCTTTAAAGAAGGCAATCATACTGCTGAAGGACCAGCACAATCTCAAAGCTAGCTTTTTATTCAAGAAAAATTGCCACCTCATTGTCCAGACTTTTTGGTGACAGTGATGTCATAGTGCTACGGTCCCTCAACACAATGAAATTTTACATTCATCTAAGCTTATTTGCATGCATAGCTAATTTCCATTTCATCTAGCAAATCCTCAAAGGTACACCAGTTCCTTTACATACTTTCTTCAATGAAATATCTCCTCACATTGGCATTGTGTGCATGATGCCTCATTCACCCAAAAGTTGAAAAAGTTACTTTTGGGGACTACACAGTTCCCAGAATACCCCTAGACACAATGGCCATGCTAACTGAGGGGACTCTGGGAAATGTAATACAGAAAAGTATGTTTCCTGAGCTCTGTCACAGCACATATCAGGGCCCATCCAGACAGAC